TCCTCCTGGATTCGAACCCTTCCCACTAGTGTGTTAACTTCACCTCATAATTTCATGTAATCCGCAAATTTGGACAGAGTGCTCTCCACGCCCTCATCCAAGTTGCTGATGAAGACATTGAATAGCACCGGTCCAAGGGCTGAGCCTTAGGGGACTCCGCTGCCCACATCTTCCCAGGTCGATACTGACCCGTCCACGACCACTCTCTGGATGCAACCCTTAAGCCAAATTGCCACCCACCTGACTGTGTAATCATCTGTCACAGCCACTCGGTTTGTTTATGATAACAGGATGGGATACCATGTCAAAGGCCTTCCTAAAATCCAAGGAGATAACCTCTACTTCAACTCCCTCATCTAAGCATTTTGTGACCTGCTCATAAAAAAAAAAAAAACAAGGTTAGTCGGGCAGGATCTACCTATGCATAATAACCTATGCTGGTTTTCCTTCGGCATTATTTTTCCTGCTGGGCTCCCACAAATGTGATCCTTGATAATTTTTTCAAAGGTTTTCCCAAGGATAGAGTTGAGACTAACTGGCCCCTTTGCCTTCTTACCTGAGCAATGGGATTGTCTCCTTCTGCACCTGTAGGATCACTCCCTTTAGGAATGACCACCCTTCCTGGACTCCCATTTCACCAATGCTCTTGAGCTTTAACACCTCACTAACTAATCTCCTGGGCACATTGAAGTTAGCCTTTCTGAAGTCTAGCATTTCTGCCCTACTGGTTCTCTTTCCCACCCTATGCCGGATGGTGAATTCAGTCGGGTTATGGTCACTGTCCCCTAGGTTACCTTGTACCTGTAGATCCCCCACCAGGTCATCCCCTGTAGCCAGCACTAAGTCCAGTAAGGCGTTTCTCCTAGTGGGACTGTATACCTCCTGTGTTAGGTGAAGGTCCTGTATGGAGCTTAAGGACCTACATGAATGGGCAGATCTAGCTGACTACTACTCTGTGTGGCTGTCATGGGTGACGTAAACTACCCTGACATCTATGTCCCTTGACCATGGTCTCTGAGAGCTGTCTGGAGAATTTCAGGTCCAACTCATCCTCCTGGTGTGGCAGTCTGCAGTAGACCCCCGTTATCAAGTCGCTTCCCCCCCCATACCCATCCCCTTGTATTCTAACCCACAATACCTCAATTTGCACCTCCTCTGCTCCCATCTGGATTATAGAAGATGTGTAATTGCTCCTTAACAGAGAGAGCAACACCTCGCCACCTTTTTTCCCACTCTGTCATGTCTGTACAACTTATAGCCCTCAATGCTTACTGCCCAATTGTGGGTAGTGTCCCGCCAGATTTCAGTTAGCCCGACCAGGTCAAAGTTATTGCTTGCAAGCAGGAGTGTGAGTTCCTCCTCCTTGTTCCCCATGCTCCTAGGTTGTGTGTGCTGTTTGGATTTAGAACAGTCTCATCTCTCGGAGAGTTGTCACGCTATAGAGCATGGTCAAATGAACGCTTTGAGATGTTGCAGAAGGTCAGAGGGAGCTGCTGCTCAGGAGCATGAAGTGTCTCCGTCTTTCGTATGGTGCCAGATACCAACTTCCAAATCTACGAGCGCTGTCTGGTATTATTGCTCAGTGTGCAGATTCCATTTTCCCCGTCTGGGCATTTGTAATGATTACAGCTTTCGATTAAGTATTATGCTGTTTTTGGGACTCTGCATTCACAGAAGGGGCTGCCCAAGGTGTTCATCTTGTGAAGTATTGTTTTGAAGCATCCATATCCAAGATCTCAGTCTGTTCAGCTTGACCCACGCTTCCCTGTCAAGGATGCGCCCAATGTGGGACTCATCTGGTGTTGGTATAAAACACTGTGGGAATAGGTCTGACCTTTTCCCAACAGTTGGTCCATTCCATTGCTGCCTGTAGGCTTGGTTCAGCATCCCCAATCTTTTCCAGGAGCTTATGGGCTTCATGCATAAATGTTTTACAACTTTTAAGCCACCATCTATATTCAGGTCTTCAGTTAGCAGTTGATGGAGCAGGTGGTTTTCATAATCTCTTGCCCCTAGGCCAGTAACAGTGTTAGGGTCTGTCTTCTTATTTCACTTGGTCTAATGCCTGAGAGTACAGGGAGTACAGATGCGTGTGCACAAGTTTTGCAGCTGTTATGAGTCTCAGTGCACTGTTAAGTACAGTGTTGAGCTTTTCAGTGTTATAACTTTTGGACCATACAGGAGCACAACATCAACCTTAATTTAACCACTTATATCTCTGACAATCAGTTGGACACAGCTCTTAAAGTGATGAAGACTGGCAATGCTGCTGGGCCAGATAAGATATTCTCAGAATTCATTACCTAGTATGGAACCACAATGAAAAAATAGCGTCAGAAATTCATGTATAACTGTCTAGAAAGTAACAGAGTTCCAAAAATGTGGAGTAAAGCTGACATCCTTGCAATCCTGAAACCGAGTAAACCACCAGAGGATCCAAAGAGCTAGTGAACCATCTCACTACTCTGCATTACATACAGACTTGTGGCGTGCATAATCCTGAATAGAATAGAGGACATGAGTTCCCAAAAGAACAAGCTGGCTTTCAGAAAAAGTGGTGTACCACTGACAAAGTTACATTACTTGCATCTGACATAGAAAACAGATTTGAAATGAAGCAGAAATAGGTGCAGCCTGCATTGACCTTACTGCCGCTTATGATACTGTATGACATGAAGGCCTCAAATATCAACTGCACTTCATGATACCTGACCGCAAGCTATGCGCTTTCATCATGAACATGATCTCCAGCAGATCATTCAAACTCAGTACTGGCCAAAGAGAAAAAAACAGAGTATGAACTCTGAAGAATGAAGCCCCCCAAGGGACCGTGCTAGCACCAGTACTTTTCAGAGAGAGAGAGAGAGAGAGAGAGAGAGTGTGTGTGTGTGTGTGTGTGTGTGTGTGTGTGACTTGCCACACAACATCTAAGTGATACATGTATGCTAATGATGTCACCATGGTACCCCAAGGAATTGACATGACAGAACCAGAAAAGTTACTGAGTTACTGACCTGGAACGCATCGCTGACTATCTCCACAAGTGGCGGCTAAAGTTGAGCATCAGTAAATCGGTATCGTCACTCTTTCATGTGGACAGTCATTGAGCCAAGAGCATGCTGAATATCAGAGCAGGCAATGCAATGACATCCTCATGAGCATACCCCAGCCTACCTAGAAGTTGCATTAGACCGTTCTTTCACCTATAAACATTACATTCAGAAGGTCAGCAGTAAAGTCTCTGCACAGGTAG